CAAGAGCCATAATGCAAGAGGCATCAGGAGTACATATTATATTGGAATATCAGGCCTCTCTGGCTGAGGTCAAGGATGAAAACAAAAGAATGGTTGAAGGCAGAGACAGAGTCCAGATGCAGAAGACCTTATAAGTTTGTTAAAGAATTTAGACATTATCCTAAGTATAACAAAAAGCTGGAGAGGAGCAAGACTGAATATAAGAATATTGCTTGGAACAAAAGGTCCTAATAGGTCATCATCTAAATGATAGTGGCCTAGACAGTGAAAATGATAGTTATGTGTTGCTTTTACTCTTTTAACACTTTTGACACTAAAAGTATAAGATTTTTTTCCCACACAAATAATTCTCCAACTTTCCAGACACTGACTAGCAGCCTTACAATTCAATCCAATTCTGATCCTACTACCCTAAAGTATCATTGATCCCACAGGATAAGAGGCATAAAGGAGGCATAGCCAGGTTAAAAGGTACCTTTGCTAAGGTCCAGAAGGGTCTCATGCACAAGACTTTCTGACCTTATATAGTTGGGGTATGCTACCCTGTATTCCAACCTAGAAATTTCCTGAACCCCACAGTTTAGTACTGTGTGTATGTTTCTAGGAATTAAGCCTAGGGCCTTGTACATTCTGGACTAATGCCCTCTCATGGACCTATACCCTCAATCCATGTGGGCGCAATCATTCCCTAGAGGTTATGGTGGGTGGTTAGGATGAGTGTTTCAAACTTCTACTCGGGGTTTGGTTCTTTCTTCTAACCAGTCCCCATCCTGAAACTACCTAGATGCCTTCAATAGTCACATTATCAGAAAAGATTCTCCTGTCACTCATGAAAGCTCAAGGGTTTTAGGAGCTTTATGTCAGGGATTAGAAGGGAAAGACAATATATAATGAAAGATGCTCCTTTCACCTCAGTCACTCAGGAAATTACAAGCATTTTAAGAACTCTGCCAGGAATCAGAGAAAAAGAAGAAATATATCTTATTATAAGTCAGAGTGGTAAAAATGTACAAAGATAAGCTCAGTGTGGTGGTGCATGCCTGTAATCCCAGAGACTTGGGAGGCTGAGGAAGAAGGATTATAAATTTGAGGCCAACTTGAATGCTTAGCCAGATCCTGTCTCAAAATAAAATAAAGCTCTGTAGGATGTAACTAGAACGCTTGCCTAGAATGGCAAGGACCTGTGTTCACTTCCCAGTACCACCAAAAGAGAAAAGAATGACGAATGATAGACTTGAGCATTGAGAGGTATGACTCACAGGACTTATTATTTACTTGGCTATGGGGGTTAGAAGAGAAGTTAAGAATGTCTATCAGACTTTGGTCAAAAGAACTGAATAGATAATATTGCTACCTAGTACTATTAAAAAGCAAATTTTAGTTTGGGATGATAAACTTAAATTGAGGTTGAATTTGACCATAAGACAGTAGAATTTATGGGTATAGAACTCAATGGAGCAATCAGAAATTGACAGATTTGGGAATTGTCAATAGGAAACTTTGGAAATGGCTAAGAATTTTTAGGTGGAAAGTATGGAGTAAGCGAAAAACCAATCCTAAATAGATCCTTGGTGGATACTCAACTGTAATGATAGGAAGACACAGCCTGCAAAGTAGTTGGAGGCACCATTACGGAAGTAGAAAAGAAAGCAGAACAAGATGGTCTCAAGAAAGGCAAAGAAGGAAGAGCTCTGAGGAGAATCCAATAGTATCAAGTCCCATGTGGAAAGCATAAGGTTGACAACGATGAAAAGTGTTCACTGAATTGAGGAACTAGGTGAGAATAATTTTAGTGAGGAGCAAAAACCATGGCTGCATTGCAGTGTATAGCAAAGAAACACTGAGTGCACACAACTATTGGAAAAGCTGATTTCAGTACAAAAGAGAGCATAGTGACAAGAGGGCAAGTGGTATTAGGAGGAGTTTCTGTTAACATAAGAGAGATTTGCAAGTGTTTGAGTATCAATTTTGAGCACCTACTAGAGTGTAGAAGTAGGAGGACTGGGGAATTCCAGATGATTCCATTCTTAGTCAATGAGGGAACATTAAACAGAATGTCTTGCTATAAGAAGGTTGGTCTTGGAGCTGGTACTGTTGATTTCAAGGGACTTCTTACCTAAAGAAATGTACCCTGGCTACATGCAGTGGTACAGACCTATAATCCCAGGATTTGGGAGGCTGAGCCAGCGGGACTGGAAGTTCAAAACCAGCCTGCACAATTAAATAAGATCCTGTTTCAAAATAAATTTCAAAGGAACTGGGGAATATAGCTCAATCTAAAGGCCCTGGGTCAATTCCTAGTGCAAAAGCAAATAAAATAAAATAATACTAATGATAAATAATAACAAAATCAAACAAATGAAAAAAACCTAACCCTGCCCTAAAAAGGAAGTATCTAGTTTGAGTTTTTAGGTGAGTCTCAGCAGAACCTTTCACCATGTGTCTGTGGCAGTCTTTACAGAATCTATTCAAACCTAAGTTTTTCTACAAGGACAGAAATTAAGCTTGTATTATACAATTGTTCCATCCTTAATGGCTAGACAACTGGACAGATTCAAAAGGGCCTGATAATTCATAAAGGTTAGCCAATTCTATAGTTTCTAAGATCCTTAAGACAACTCTTCTGCCCCAGTCTATCAAACTACAGCATAAATAGAAGTATAGGAATTTCAAAGTCCTATTTGGGTGCAAAATGAAAGTGTTATATGGCTGGGGAGTGTGGAAGAAGGATGATAGATTTAAATGAAAGCACTCCAGTTATATATTTATAGCAAAAGTAAAGCTCAAAGTTGCTTCTCAAGCAAGATTTAATACAATAAATTCAGACCTGGGGGAAGGTTGGTGAGCTTCAGTATCTTTGGCCTTGTTCATAAATCATGATATTGATCACATATGAACGAATGCATAAATGTATATATTTCTGTATGGGAACAAATGGAAGCTCATTTATTATGTGAAAATGAAATAGCGATTTTTCTAATATTTTATAAATAACCATTTAGCATTTTTTAAAAATCTTAGTTAAATGAATCTTATCTCTCTATAAATATCCACATGAATCTACACCTTCACTTCTCAATGGATGTCACTTCTGCTATAGAAGCTGCTTCGGGCCCCTGGGAAAAGAATTTAAGACTAAAGAGTCAGCATCAAATGACAACTTATGGAGGAAGGAATGCCAAGAGTTTCCATTTTTAATTTTCTACATATTTCCTTCCATAGCTAAAACGACCTAGGAGTAGCTACTGCACATTATATTTGACTTTCTCCCTTGATTAGATTTGTTTTAGAAACACTATCTTTCAATAATGATTATCATTTAAACTGAACCACCAGACAGTAAGCATGTTTGTATGTTCTATTAGTAAAACTCCAGTTATACAATCATTCACTGGTACATTTTAAAAGATTGTTTATTGACACACAGTGAAGTATTTGCTTTGGCGCATATTTCAAAAAGGGTGTACATGTAGTAAGTGAAGATCATGCTTCTCTGGAAAGGAAGATTACACTTCACTGTGGGGTTAATAGTGAGACTTTTGTGTAAACTCAAAACCTAGAAAAGTGTTCTCAACACTGACCAAGCTTCAAAGCAAACTGCCTTTTGAAAAACATTCCAGACTCCCCACCCCATCACTGGGGAGAGGAGTGGGCTTCTCCCCAATCTGAATTTACTTACTCCCCAATCTGAATTTTTAAATTTTTCTCCAGAGCTTCCCTACAGATAAATTGTTAGGGGAGCAACACACAGATTATATGAAGACTAGGAAAATCTTGGAGTAACAAGAAAAATTAGTATTAGCTAAAATTCACCAGGCTTTTGAGTAGAGGTGTGGGTAAAGAAATACTGTGTAAACGGCCTCATAGGCATAATACAGTATACAGAAATACAAGTCATAGTTCAGCCTTGTCTTGTACCTCTTTGTAACATCTAGAAAAAATTTTAAATTAACTCATAAGAAACAAGTTTCACGCAACAATATATAGTGAATAAATCTAATATAGAAAGAGACTCAAGATATAATTTAAAAATCAAAAGATCTGAAAGCTGCTACTAGTTACCCTGTACTTGAAACGTGGCTTGAGTGCAGCAAACTGGATTCTTCTAAGTATAAAATACACTCTAGTTTCAAAGATTTTGTGTAAAAAAATCCTGTAAAATACATCACTTAATCTCGCTTACAGGTTACTATTTTGGGTATATTTAAGTGTGTGTGTATACATAAACTATGTTTCTACTCTAGGGGATCCCCAAAAATCTTCATTACATTGTTGCCGGCATGCTATCTCCGTAGGGCTCGGGTAAAGGTCAAGACCAACCTCGGAAGACTATCTGGTACTATAAGGAGGGATAGGGCAACCTAAAATAGAGGTAAGTAATAAGCAATGTTTTTAACCAGTCATTTAAAACTAATAGCTAGAAAAGATACCCGCGTGTGAGTTCGCCCCGGGACTCCTCTGGAAAGAGCGTCTGGGAGGAGGAAACACTGAATAAATTTCCTTTAAAAGCCCGGGAGAACAGAAGTTCGGCGTTTCCACGCCCCTCAAATAACCGAGAAGCCCAGCGGGGGAAGCCAGGCCAGCGGGGCGTGCGAGGGCCCAGCCCCTAAGGGGAGGAGCGTTCCCAGGTAGGGGCGAGGAAGGCCCCGGAGCCACGTGGCTCCGGAAACCGCCCCCGCGCGGGGATAGGCGGACACTCGCCGGCCCCTCTTTCCGAACGGGACAGTCATTTCCTCAACCTAGGGAACCACGACCCGTAGGGCCCGCGCCTGCGGCACCTCCTCTGAAAGGGCCGACCCAGGTGGGCCAGAGACGTGAGGGGTACCGTAGGCGAAAAGCACAGCTGTGCACCTACCGACAACTAGGATGGCCCTCATATTTAGGTTCTGTTACCGCGCCTTCAGCCCGCCTCCTTTTCCTCCACCCCCACGGGCGTACGTCACAAAGAGTGACACGGAAAGCAAACAATCACAGGCCCGCTCCCCTCGAGCCCCTAGGGAATGGAAGGGCGGGC